GCGTAAACGCACTGCCCTTCGGCCAAAAGTAAGAATAAAATAATTACACTGAGTGAAATAAACTAGATTAAAAAGAGGAAAATTAATTAATTTTAGAAATTAAATAAATAAACCTGAATAAACCTGATTACCCCTCAAATAAATAAACAAAAACGTAATTACCCCCCGCCAAAGAATTATGAAAAGAAAAAAAAAGGAATTGAGTCAGTTACTTGCTCTGGGTGTAGTCGTGTTTCGGTTCCTAAGCTAGTGAGGCTCCAAGTGGCATTTCTGAGTGTGGGCTCTTGAAATTTTCTATGAATTTTTCAGAACAAAGTTCATGAGGTCAAGACTATTTTCATAAGAAAACTAAAATGCTGTGTGCCTTTTTAACCATGCTGACTTTTGAGTGAGAGATGAGAAGAAGGGTCAGCACCTTGGCAGGTACCTGGGCAAGACCTTAGGCGGCCCGGGTGGGCAGAGTCACCTGCCAGCAGCTAGAGGAACGCTGGGTCCACCGGACGGTGTCGCCGGTGGAAGTACCCGTGTTCTGGCACGTGTTACATAGCTGTGTGGAACGTCGGCCCTGAGCACGCCTGTTCGACACTTCGCGTGTTGAGATGCGTGGTACGTGCCCTTCCTGCTCGGGGCGGGCGGGTGCCCTGTGCAAAGCCCTCAGAGTTCTTTCGGCTGCCATCAGCACGGCGGTTTCTGAAAGATCACTGGCAAACTTCAGCCTCGCAGACCTGGGTTTTGGCCAAAAATTTCCTCCAAAAAGAACCGAGTCTGTTACTTTAAAGAAAACCATGGGGAGTATTCGCTGCCCCTGATAAACTTGAAAGTCTCGAGTTAAAATCAGAATTCTTAAAGGCTTGTCATCAGCCACCGCGAGCCTGAAGGCTTCCCTGGTTTTAAAGAATGCAGGATGCAGTTTGCAGTGAAAATAGCAATGGTGAGATTTTGTATTGTTTGATGAGATGTTGCGACATTTACACAAACCAGTGTGACTCCGAGGTGGGGTTCTCCAAATGAGGGAGGCGTGACGTAACAAAATCTTGCATCGATAAACGATCGAGTCCAAGTGATACTCAGACCAATGGATTGTGATGCAACCAAAGGATTTCATCAGTGTGATGATTGATTCATTGCTGTAATTAAATTTGAGACATTAGCATTTGTGATGCTTGGGTGTAGTGTCGGTGAAAAAAATGCTACAATAATCTGGGAAAACTGTTACAATAATCCTGCGTTTTCCAAAGACATGGTACATCTCTGTGAGGCCAGATGTCCTTCTTCCTGAGCAAAGTGGTGCCACACTTTGGATGAGGAAGCAGATGTGAGAATGCACCTTCTCTCTGTCAAGCACGTTGGCCGCCCAAGGGAGGGGCACCGGGGCGAGTAGGGTGGTCTCTCTGAGAGAGGAAGGGATGCTGTGGGTCCAGGCAGAGCCAGGCAGTCGGACTTCACAGAGAGGGCGCAGCCGGCCGGAGAGTCTTCAGCTGAGTGTGAGTCACCGCGTGAAGCCAGGAAAACACCGAGCGCTGGGGAAGGACCCGCCCAAAAGGCATGGGCAGAGGCGCTGGGGCCAGCGTCAGCTGGGAGCGGCTCCTGCTCCCAGCAGCCAGCGCAGGACACCTCATAACTCACGGGGCAGCGGGCGGACGGCTCAGAGGCCAGGTGGGACACTGACCAAGATGGCCTGTATTCTGGGCCATGAAACACAACCCCCAAAGCAAAAGGATCCAAGTCATACGCACTGTGTTCTTTGCCCACAGTGAAAATAATTTAAAGGCCAATCACAGAAAAATATCAGGAAAATCCCCAAATACTTGGAAACTAAATGGCATACCAAGCAGTCCCTGGAAAAAGGAGGGGAAAATCAGGGGGTGGGGGGGTAGGAGCTGTTTTGGATTTAATGACAGTGACATTGCCGATCACCTCTTCAGACTGATGGGAAAACCAAAGCACTTACGCAAATTACAAACATCAGAAACGGGACAGGTGACGTCACTGTAGATTGTGCAGATACTAACAGAGGAATAAGGGGAGCTTACGAGCAGCTCACGACCAGCAGTTACGAACGCAGACGCGATCGTCAGTTCCTTGGAAGCGACAACCTGGCAAACCTGGCTCCCAAGACACCGAGAAGCTGGATCCCACTGGGTTTACTAATGTAGCCGCAAAGAAAGGTCCAGGCCCAGGTGTCTTTACTGGCAAATTCTACTGAGCACTTAAGAAATAAATAATAGCAGTCACAGACAATTCTTCCAAAAACTGAAAGTTTGGGGATATTTCCCAACGCAGTGCACGAGGTCAGCATCACTTTGATACTAAAAGCAGACAAAGGTATTGGAGCAAAGGAAAGTTATAGATAAATATCACTAACATAAGTGCAAAAAAGTCTTTATGAAAATCACAGGACACAGACGTCAACCGTGTATAACATGACTGGACGGCTCCAAAAATGAGACGCGCGGGGCTGCCTGTACCGGGGTGGGCTTCTCCCGAAACAAAAGTGCCTGTTTGCAACGCCATCCCCATTCGAGGCGATTGTGTTTGGGGAGTTGTTACCAACCTACATTGGGACAGAGAATGGACTTTGGCAAGATTATGTTTAAAAATCCAAATACCCCTTTACCCACCCGAAGTCTTCACCCTACGTTTTCATTCTCATAGACGTACACTTAGCGGTAATCTGCGTGGAGATGTGTCCACCGCGTGCATGGTCCATGTGGGGATTTCAGACCAATCGCATTTGACAGGATGCTGTGCACCAGAGACCGACCCAACACTGTTAACTGACTATGCTTCAATTAAAGAAAAGAAAAACCCCAAAAACAAGAGAAAAGAAAAATAAAATAAATTAAACTGGCAATAAAATGTATCTTCTCTACGGCATTTCAGACCTCATGGGTCCAGAAACTTTGTGTAACTCTGAGGTCAGCTGCAGACAGAAACGCACAGAGGACGTTCCAGGTGCGCCAGGCACTGCCAGGGCTCGGGCGCCTGCGGCCGCTGGGAGTCCCTCACGGAGCGTCGGGTGCCCCCGTGTCTGCAGGCCTGGCTCCGGTCTGGCTTTTTTTTTTCCAGTCCCTCCGCCCTTCTGAGGTAACTGCCACTGACTTCAGAGTCCC